GGTGAGGATCAGCGGGGCTGCTGATACCTTACCAGTCCCGAGGGGCAGGCCCGCCGCCGCTCTCGCCAGCAAAAATCCGAGGGGGAAAGCCCCGTCGGGCCCTCAACCCCTCAGTCTCCTCCGCGCCGCTTTGCTGCTTTCGGGCCGACGCCCGCCGGCCTCGATCCCCGAACCTCCGTAGTAATAGTCCGATGCCGTAACCTTAAGGGTTAAGCCCAAGCCTGGGGYTGAGTCCCGCAGAATACCATATAGGCAGTGCGGCGCGACGCTTTTGGGCCAACCAAACGGCTGCGCGGCTCCCATTTGCCCGCGCCGGTTTGCTTATACCATGCCATAACTACCCCGCGCGCCATCCTACGACACCCCGCTTACCGCACGAAATTGCGCCGTTATTGCCGATGCCGTCGTCGGGGTCGTTTCTCTGCACACGCGCTTGACCTACTAATCAAAAATAAAATATCCTTAATCCCTGCTTAATAAAAAATAATAATAATATCACCAAACGAAACGACCGAGGTCCGGGCCGGCTTTACGATTAAATAACAGAAAAAGAATCACGCGCGCCTTAAACCTGCGCGCCCACGCACTCGCTATTGCGGTCAACCACCCAGTCAAAGCAATTACTGACGCAACCGTGCTTAGCGGGGTATACTTAAATTCTAAACCAAAACTATTTTCTGTCACTTGCAAAAACCAGGGCGGATACCCTTGTAAGGGTATTCGCATCGACACCGCTTTGAATGCTTCTTAGAGAGAGGGGCGATCAAACCCAAAGTGGATCCGCCCGTCCCTTCCTGTTGCACAATCAAGGAACTTAGACGAAAAACAGAAAAAGAAATCGATAGGGTATCAGAAAGAAGATGGGCATTCGGGATATAACGAGTTGCCTTGTAAGTAAACAGTATGTTTGTTGAGACCTTTCATCGTCTTTTTGTAATTCTACCTTCCTTTTCCGACCCCTCTATTTCCCTTTTAATTCAAAACATTATGCGTCATATAACGTTCAGGGCGAGAAAAGATAAACTTATCCAAAAGATTGACTTTTTTATGCCTGCATCCCTTATTTCACATACCTACACACACCATAGTCATCACAACTCCAAAAAAGAGAAAAAAAAAAAAACAATTCTCACATTCACTCGGGTTTTTCCACTCGCACCCCACAACCATGGTCACACACCACCCTCACTACTCTTTCTCTTTCCTTCTTTCGAACGTCGAAGCAAAGAGTGAAGGGTCATGTAAAGTTTGGTGCAAACAGGGTGAAGAGAAATAAGAATCATGAGTCGCCCACTGACCTTCAG